AATCTTATCTAAAATGCACCAGTGCATAGTGCGAAGATTACGAAGTACGCCAACATCATCATCGCCATATTACTGTAGATTCACACAAGAAGTGCCGAAAGAACTTTTTGATATCATTTTGAATCAAATTATTGAGCACAACTCGTTTGGTCATACAAGTAAATCAACCCGATCAGTGTCTACTGTTGAAATAAGTGATCGAAGAAAGGCAGTGTACTTGATAAATCGAATGGATGAGGTCTCTACTGTTAATGAAAGCAACCTGTTTCGAAAGCAATTCGAGGACAAGGGAAGGGCTGAAGTACTATTTTCGAAAGAAAARCCTCTAACATTGAAATATAACTACAACAGTGAAATACTCAACATATCCTTCTATTATGGCTACTGGAACTCTCATGGTATCCCTCAGCACTAGCAATGTATTTCATGATAAASAATGATTATTAGTAATTGATTCACAGTTATCTGAAAAATCAAGGACCACTTMTGTATTTATGATGCTGGAATGGAGTCTTTATAATGGAGTGAGAATAGTAATAGCATTCCCCAGAAACACAAAGGTATATATTAACTGTTGTTGCTGCTATGGAGTTATGTCAGAACTACTGTTGGTTTTAAATATTAAACCTCATTTAGATACTGTTGGTTTTGTTGTGAATTTCTTTCTTTYAATTTTGGTGATATCATAGKTTGAAGCAAATTATTGTTTAATGACCATGTGTTTCGAAAATAAATATTAGTAAATGGAACTATGRTTTAGACACATAATCATATGAGTGATAAATATGGCTAAAATATCTTACTAATGAGAACAGTTATCTTAACCAATGCATTTCTTGTTGTATTTTATATTATATTCCTCATTTTATGCAATCAATAAAACCTRTAATAAWTAATTGAGAACAAACACATCAAAAGGARTCTTTATTATTACTGCATAATGATCCATATTGTTTTTCTCGTGTAAAAAATAACATGTCGAATGTGAAATTTTAGTCTGAGGACAGTAAAATTTYAGAACAATCACAAAATACATGTATTATKCAAAGACCTAGGCGTTTGTTAAATGAATATCGTAAACCTGATTGAAATTCTGGTCCCTTATWGTCTCTAATGGTTAWAAATAAGCTTTCTATTCCRAAATAACAGATTGGGCTCCCGGTGCACCGTCCAAAAACCYTTTTAGCTTTTCGTGTATCTTGCCATTCTTACAGGTTTCTTGGACTAGCTGCATCAGTTCTGAAGAGCAAATTTCACATTTGGCAGAAAGTTCTCCAATCAACAGTGGGCCTTCAGACTCTCCATTGGGAAGACCGCAATAGCAAAAACCTTTGTCATTGGCACACTTAGCAGGGATGTATTGGTCTTTGCACTTTTTCTTGTGGTCAGTTTCGTCAACCTGCAATTTCTTGGCTTCATGCATAGGATTTTGCTCCTTCAACCAGACCAATTCCATGAATTCATGTTTCAGAATTTGCCACCATCTAAGTCGTTTCCCTCTGGTGGTATTCTTAGCATATGAAGCAAGTTTAGAGTGTTTTGCCTCCCTTCCTTGCATGCTATTCATTCCTACATGCTATTCATTCCTAGACCAAATCCCAACTCATTGAAGATTTCTTGGGTGTGAAAAGGAATTGCTTTACCAATGGTCCACATTGTGGGGGCTACTTTGTTGAGGAGCAAGAATTGGCAGTTAAAGTAAAGATTACATGCTTCCTTAAGGCAATCTATATCTCTTTCAGCAATGTGAATTCTACTGAATAGAGAAGTAGAATTACGGAGGCATAAACCTGAAAACGCCAGGCTGTGGACATGTACAAGAGTCGACCTTGGAATTCCAGGATGAGAAATGAGCACACGACAGACCTCCATGAAGTGGCAACAGAATAACTTTGTTTCCTTGCCTGTGAATCGGTA